TGCACTTTTACTTTTGCCCTCTGGGGGGAGCCTCGCTGGAAAATCAACACCGGTTGCATAGTATACCTTTAAAAAAATAAGACAGTGGCGACTTTTCTGCTGGTTTTCTGGTCTTCATCATCATTTATAAATTAATCTTATATCTGTTTTTTTTCCAGAAGCTGAACAGTGATAAAGAGCAGGCGATGAAGAAGAGGAAGAAGAATGAAGCGAACTGTCTGGAAGAGAATAACCTGATGAAGAATAGAGAAACTAAACAGGGGTAAGAAATGTGGCGTTTCTAATGCATCACTCTAACCTGACCACCGAGGATTTTTATTGGTCTGTTCGGTGGCTACATCTTCACTGCTGATGAAGCCGGTGATACGCTGTGCGATTTTTTTTTTTTTTGTCCGTTCGTTGCACGCAGCTACAGCTCAAACCTCAGGGTTTAAAAGTTCACAGCTCACGATGCATGTTCTCACGCTGTGCGGCCCGATGCTCTGATGCGATCTACCTGCTAACACTGTACGTCTAAAACCCATGTCTGACTGAACTACGAGAGATGGCGCTGGTCGGACTCGTCAAGCTAGAAGAAGCAGAAGATAAACTCTCTTGTTTAGACATGCCCAGTGCTTAAGGTTCTGGTAAATCGGTTCGTAGCTCTGCTTCAACTGCAGGATTTCTCCAGATACACCTCACCTCGGCCGACTGAATTTCAAACATATTTGATCTTATCCCGACCTTACGGTTCCTTTTCGGGAGGTGGTCGTAAGAGCTGCCATTGTTGCAGGCAAAGGGAAGATAGGCTAGCTCCGCCCAAAGCGCATCAGAGCCACTTTTCAACCGCGCAGCTAAAGCAGCAAGGATGCTTCAGCCGCGCATCAGAACTAAACTTGTACAAACATCAAAAATGAAGCAACAGGTGCGTTTTTGCCAGGGGTGGAAAGTAATTAATGACATTTACTCAAGTTACTGTAATTGAGTGCTTTTTATGAGTAATTTGTAATTTTCTGAGTACTTTTTTGTAATATGTCATTTTTACTTTTACTTGAGTAAATTTTAACCTAAGTAGTTAAAGGAATAGTACTATAACTTTAAAGGCTAAATATTTTTTTTTTTATTTTGTTTAATCACCTATAAAACAGACATAGTGACATTTAAAATAGTGGTTCCACCTGAAAAATATTCCTCAAAGCCTTTCTGTTATAAAAATACAAACAATTGTATTTCCAATTAATAGTTTGGGAGCTGAACTTGTTTTAATTCACATATGTAATTTGAACCTAAGACCTTCAGGGCTCAAAGGGGTTAATCACCAGAAAACGTATGCTTCTTCTGCAATTGGCTAAACTGACCTTATTTGAACACTGGTTGCACTGTGGGCCACTGCAGATATGCCTGTTTTTTTTCTCCAGCTCTAATAACCGACCGCTTTCTCTGATTTGATCCTGTGCTTCTCCACCGGGCCTCCCATAAATCTCTGCTGAGGCAGGGATGCTGACTGCTTGCTCTGAGCCGCTGTGACAAGCCAGCCACCTTCAAGAAAACGCTCTATTATCTGTGCTCTAATATGCTGAATACTCTGAGACGCCAACATCTCCTAAAAATAGCAGCAGCCATTGTGATGGGGCCGTTATGAAACAGATGATATTATATATGTGCGTGTCGGTGGGATTGATCTTTGAAAGCAAGCGGCACGTAATCTCCCACGTTCCCAGTAGTTCCTCGCTCTCTCTGGGCTTCTCCGCTGCGAACGCTCTTTTCTTATCAGGACGTCTGAGGTCAGCTGGTGTATTTGTTCAAGTTTGGCTACTGTGAGGTCTGTCAGAACCACTGCAGTCCTCCTCTTCACTAAGATTTCAGGTTTGCTAAAGGATTAAAACGGTTTACTGTTGCTCACGTCTGGATGTTTGCAGTAGCCGATTAAACCTGAAGTGGCAGGATTTTAAGAACCGGTTTTCCAGCCTTTCACATGAGCAAATTAACACATCAGCTTAACATCCACCTCATTTTAGGAAACTCTTGCCTGTTTTGCATACCCAAATGGAAAAGCAGATAACCTAGGCACTGTAAGCCCAAATTACATGTGCAATACATTATTTGAAAACTAACACCCTCTAGTTTCCGAATATACAAAGAAAAAGTACAACAAATGAAATGTCTTTAAATCCACATTAACATGAATCCAACAGACTGCAGTAAACAGATAAATGGAGGCAGAAGATGTCTTTCAGTCATCAATGCTCACATTCAGCGACACACAGGAGCTCTTTCAAGCTGGACACCGTTTCATTCACAACACCT